TTCTATCAATCCTCCATCCATCCATCCATCATATATTCTTCCTCCATCCTCCTCATTCCCTACCCCACTTCTATCGTATAACATATCATAGCAGCATCGGTGAGTGCACACATTCGGTTACCGCCAAGAAAAGGGCAACGAACAGTAGGTGGTGGAGCTCAGTTTCATTGCTTTCTGGATGCTCGCAGCTTCCAGAAACAGGTTTTGGGACCGACGTAAAAAGCAATCGATGCGCCAAATGCGTGCCGCGAGTTGGTGATCAAGTGCGCCTGCGAAGGTCCAGATAGAAAAGAAGGAGAAGTCATGCATAGCCGTGATACTAGTAATACAGGGAACGCAGATTCGATGCAACGGCCGATGTAAAGATGCCCTTGGTAGTGTCGTGTGCTGAGACGGCAACTTAAACGCAGCAGAATATTACTCAACAGGTGCGGGCGTCTCGAGCTTCACCGCATCATACCCGCACGACTATCACTTCCTAGCCTCCACATCCGACCCAACTCTTCCCTCCTCCAGTCGCTCGGCCTAGCCGAAACAGTGCTGGGCCGATGCCTTCCGGCGCCGCTGGCCTCGCGACGGAGCCCCCCGCCATACCCGCCTCCTGCCTTCGGTCATGGCCCTTTGTCGCCAGGCGTCCACACCAGCGCCAGCCCGCCTTGTGTTTGGTTCGGGACGTCCCCCGAAGTTGGGTCAACTGTGGATGCCGACGACCACCGCCAGGAGCTCAATTTTGTTTTCACTCGAACACATAACGCGCGTCACGTGGCCTCCAACCCACCCACCCACCCAGTAGATAACAGAACGCCCACCGCCCCACCCACCCCCCTTGCAGCAGCGCCTGTTTGCTGTTCGTAGTGCGCGCAACGTGTGCGCAGGCATGTGCTTATGGTATGTAGAGGCGCGCGGCGCGCGCAGGCTGTTGTGGCACCCGCGCAGGCGCGGCGGCGCACTCACACTGGAAGAGACAACCAGTTCGGTGTGCATAGCGCACACGCCGGCTGCGGCGGCAGTTAAGATGCACACAGGCGTGATGGTGTCTTGCATTGTGGTATACAGTGGCACTGTTGTACGCACGGGCAACGCGGACATGGGCCAGAAAAAAATGGAACTCACAAATAACTTGCACACTGAGTTTGATACGTTCGCGCCGGCCATGTTTTAGGAAGTTTGACACTGTCGGGCGCCTGGAGGTGTACACGCGCTTTGTGTTGCACGCGGGCCCTGTGAAGTACATGCTGGCGGCGCACACAGGCACAAGGGCTCATTCGTACGCACGCACAGGGATGCGCAGAGTTTGTTCTGTCTCGCGGGCTGCTACCTGGTGAGCGATGCTCCGGTGAACATGGTGCGCCGCAACTTTTTGGAACAATTCCTGTGCTACCATCGCGCCGACCACGGCGCAGTGGCTACCTTGTGACCACGCGGTGGCCAGCTTGCTGGGAAGATTTGCGGCTGGTGCCGCCGACCTTGGGCGCTAGGAGGAGGGGGGATGGGGAGGAGAAGGATGTGAAGGAGGAGGAGGAGGAGGAGGAGGAGGAGGAGGAGGAGGAGGAGGAGGAGGAGGAGGACGGGAACGAGGACGAGGACGACGAGGACGACGAGGACGAGCAGGACGACGGGCAGATGCGGGGGGACAATCAGGAAATGGAATGATTTGTGCCCTCTTGGGCGCGCTCTTGGGTTCATCTTGGCCCTCTTAGAGGGTTTCCTGGGCGCCTTTTGGGGCCTCCTGGGGGCGTTTTTGGGGGGAATGCTCAAACTGCCGGTTGGTGGTCCCCCTCTCGGGAGCCCCTTGGGCAGTCTTTGGCGTTTCTTCGGCCGTCCTGGGGCCGCCTCGAGCCGCGTCGGAGCCCGCTCGGGGGCGTCCTGAGCCAGGGCCGTCTCGGACGAAGCCGCGGCGCAAGTGAGCTCGAGGCGCCAAGGACCCTTCCCCTCTGGAGGGATCTTCGTCGCCGCGGCCGCACACAGCTCAAACAACTTGCCAGAGCTGCATCGAGGCGGCCAACAAAAATGGCCACAACTAATTTGCAGATTCAATGTGGTACGTTCGCGCCTCCCCCGCCCACTACCACGAGGTTCGGTCTATGGCATTTCTGGGCCCCTCGACGTGTACGCGGGCTTTGTGGTGTACATATACAGTGTGGTGCACGCGGGCGCCAGCCGCTGCGATGCGCGCGGCTGCTGAGGTGTGCACGTGGATCGTGTTGTACACAAGCGCTGTGGTGCACGCGGGACGTGCTTGTGTGGCCGCAGCTGTGTTGTGCAGAGGCGTTGTGGCGTGCGCGTTCGCAGTTGTGTAAACAGGCGCTGCGGTGCACAGGGGCACTGC